TGCGCTGGCTGCTCCTTCGAAGAACAGAAGTGGCCATCTTGCCCTGGCCTTCCTGCGCTCCTCATGTCCCCTCCTGCTGAGCACTCCCAGCAGTTGCTGGGTCAGTGCAAGGCTCTGGATAGGCCGGGACCTCAGGGTGGCAACCTGTCTGTTGTCCCATAGCTGCTTCCCTGCCCTGATGATTCCTCCCCACCCCTCCTTAAGTCATTCCATAAGAAGAATCCCTAAGGAAGGGGTCCCTAAGCTTGATCAGCCCACCTAATCCCCTCTGCTTGGGAGCGCTGTCCCTGAGAGCAGCCACAGGGACCTCAGTCTTCCTGGGTCAGTGCTCAAATCACATGGCACTGTCCCCTCCTCCTTGAAGGCAGAAGATACCTTCTCAGGGTTCGCACACACCTGGAAGACAGTGACCAAGTACTGGTTGAATAAATGGATAGTTTGTCACTGGTCTACAACGGTCTGACACGGTAGATGGAGGGAATTGCAGTCATTGTAATGAAGCAAAACATATGATATGTTGAAGGCAAAACTGATGATCTGCTCTGTAAACCTTCACTCAATTTACAATGAAAAGTTTAAAAAAATAATAATAAATAAGGAAATGGTTGCTAAGCGGGAGACTGAAAATTTGCACTTGAACCTAGGTCTTTCTGACTTCGAAGTTTACATGCAAAATCACTGAGATGACTGCCTTGTGGTCTTGCTTGCTGTGAAGACTGCTGGGACATTCAAGAATGCACATGACGCTCACATGCTCAAGTACATGAGACACACCTATTGTGGAAACGTGTGCCAACTTTATCCCTGACTCCACTTCATTGTCACCAGGAAAGGAGTCTTTTCTCTCTTTGCTCAGCCCCCTTACATCTTTGTGAAGTTGCTGTGATACAAGCCATCTCCTATTCTTTTTGGAACAAAATACAAACACAAGTGGGTACACAGTGTGCTACGAATCACAGAACTGACGCCTCATGTCTGACAGGAAAGAGGCGCACGGAGGCAAAGTGGGGACAGCTCAGGGGACTCATCCGTGCCTCAGTCTCTCCCAGCTACATTAATCACGGAAGCTTCACACAGACCTACCTCACCTCCGCAAGACAGGGGTCTGTATAAGACTGGACAAGATTGAAAACTATAGTCTTGAACTCTCTGTCACAAAGGAGGAATTCATTTTATGAGTAAAATTTCAGGGCAGCTATTTCTAAGCAAAAAACTGTTTACATAATACAGATAAAATTGTTAAGGGTACAGGGTTGTTAGAAGTGGAATCAGGGCCTGGCAGTTAGTGATGAATGTAGAGTTTCTTAGAAAACATGCAGACAAAAGACCACCCCCCAGGCTCTCTGCCATTGCTCAGCCCTGGCAGAGGAATGGGAGGAGAATGAAGAGGAGAAAGGAGGACATTGAGGATATGGGAGGGACAACACTGAAGAGCACTGAGGAGGAAGGAGAGAGCACTGAGGAGGAGGGAGAGAACACTGAGGAGGACGGAGAGAACACTGAGGAGGACGGAGAGAACACTGAGGAGGA